TTTTTTTTGGTCTTTTTGAGACAGGGTCTCCCTGTAGCCCCAGCTGTCCTGGAACTCACTATGTAGACCAGGCTGGCTTTGAACTCACAGAGATCCACCCGCCTCTGCCTGCTGAGTGCTGGGATTAAAGGCTTGCGCCACCACGCCCGGAATTGAATCCTTATTTTTAAGGGCCATAGAGTGAGAAAAATGTAGAAAAACCTAATTGTGCTAAGGGCAGACCATATCACCAAACACATCACAAGTTGGAATAGGTCTACATTGCTATCACAAAAGTGTATGAAGCAATTCAGCAATGTCTAAATACTAGTAAGAATAATAAGGAAGCGGGCTTGGAGGTGTGCACCTGTAGTCCCAGCCCTTGAGAGGCTAAAGCAGCAGGATGATTGTGAGTTTAAAACCAGTCTGGACTACATAGTGAGAACCAGTTTCCAAAGAAAAACAGAAGAAGCAGAAGGAGGAAAGGAGGGAAGGAGGGAGAAAGGGAAGGAGGGGAGGAGATTTTAACAAAATAGAAAAAAAATGACAAAATACAGCTCCTAAGGGCATCTGCCAATGTGATACACATTTTGCTCCTTTGTTAACTTCCCTTTACCCTCCCCACTTTGGTGGCACAGACTCTCTATGTGGCCTAGGTCTGTGCCTGGATAAGGCAAATGCTAAGAAGTTTGGACGGGTGTTGTCCTAGATGCCCAGTTTAGAGACATCTCTGAGCATTCTACACACGCCTGGCTCCAGTGTCTGATCCTGGATAGTGAGGATGATAGTTGGAGTGATACTGTGTGCTTATCACTCTATCAAACAATCAAGAATGGTGGTAACTGTATTTCAGAAAGGGCAATGCTGATTGGTCTACATGTGCAACACAGAAGAATGTGGAAGCCTAAAGGACAAGAGAGGCAGAAGAACAATAGGATACACAATCCCTTGCCCTTTTGGTGTCCTCTACAAGATCTTATTCAAATTAGCTGTGTCTGTCTAGTGTCCTAGGCTAGACCCAAACTCCCCAAAATTCAAATTGGTCTTATCAGTGCTGAGTTCTGATACACTGGCTCTTGGCTTGATCTTAACATTATATTTCTATTGATACCACCTGAGTGAGCTGTCTTGGCAATGAGGCCACATGGTTAGAACCTTTAGCAAACAAAAGAGGCAACAGCATTCCAGTTTACACAGAGGAAAGCTAGGCATGTAGGGGTGAGGTGGGTGGTCATCAAGGACATCTTCCAAATTATTCCTGTGATTATGGTGCTGATCTAATCTGCAACCATGAAGCCATCTGGTTTTTCTCTTGGATCGGCTCCCTACACTGGGAGGGCAGGGAGCCATTGGGCTTGTGGTTTAACCTGATCTTTTGTGTCAATAACTTGGCACTTGGCTCTTAGGTGATGCCAGTGCTGTAACTCAGAAAATGAATATTCTCTTGGAATTGGGACACCTTGGCTCCTAGTTAGCAAATGATATCT